GCGGCTGTTGCGTGTATTCATAGCTCTACATTGAGGAATGGGCTGAAGAGTTTAGCACAATAATAAGGAAAACTAGAGTTCAACACTAGAGTTCGCATTTTAAAGGTGGATAGATCCTAAGCCTCGATTTAGCACATGCATAAGCAATCATGAATAACAAATATTTCATAAGTGATCTCAGTGATACTTATGACTTACATACCTTGAGCGACGCAGCATGACGAAGACGAGTGGTCGATGCTTAACTCAAATAATCATATATACACATAATTCAATTTAAGCAGTCTACAGAAACGTAGACCTGCTCTGATACCATACTGTAACGCTCCACTTTTATTTGAAGAAAGTCAAGGGCTTTTCAAAAGTCAACGAAATTTTTTTGAAATTCTTTTCAGAAATCGTTGGGCGTTACTCGTCATAAAATCAACAATTACGATCTTTCACATATCAATTACTCGCAAGTAATTTAAACATCATCAAATATCCAGAGTCAAATCAAAACCACCCTCACAGGGTTTTAAATATAGTTCTGAAATTGATTATTAGCAAACGGGGCATCTCTCCAAACTAGTGTTCGCATTTCTCAAATCATAGATAATCCAGAGTTTGAAGTCCAAGATCATAATTACCCAGAGTTCAACATGATGACAAAAATAATCATAATACAATAGCAAAGCGGAAGCTATACAATAAGGACCGGTCAAACGACTGACCACCACTCGTCTCTCGTCGCCATGCAGCCGCCGGCTCAACCTGCATCCAAGAAGAGCAGGTGGGGATGAACACAGATAGAATCATGCGCATGAACAATAATAATAAGTGAGTACAAAAAGTAAATATGCATAGTCACTAGTATGAACATAGACAATAAATTTTTCCATCTACTATCCATAGTCGATCATATTCATATCTCATGTGCACACCTATCAGAATAGACTACACTTGGTCCACGTTTCGTCTCCCCGTTGGAACTCTAACGTTGCCAAAGTAGGAGAGTCATCCGTCAACCCCGAGGGTTTTAGACGGAAATCCACTGTCAACCCCAGGGGAATTAGACAGGTCTGCCAACCCCGAGAGTTTTAGGCAGGAAATCCATCACCGACCAAAGTTCATGCCTAGGTCCTCACGAAGGACAAAGAGAAGATTACCCACTCGGGGTACGTGCTATAACTACGGTGATACCGTTCGACGGTCGCTACAGCTTACGCCGAAAGTTATATATTCACATTTCATACTTTAATCATACCCAAGTAAGTAAACATATTCACAGTTCAAGGCATAGACAATTTTTGAATAATAAACCCACCTGGTAACCAGAGTAAAGCAATAAAACCAGGAAAGCAGTAGGCAGTCGAGTCACAGCTCGTCAAACACCTACATTAGTCAAGA